TATGCAATGATTGGCTCCTAGAGCCCCTGGTACCATGTACCGGGTATTTCAAGAGTGACTGGTCACTCTTCATGTAACTTGGGTACACTTGGGGTATGTACCCCGTTACACCATCTATCATGTTTTGGGCACATATGCAGTCCTGCTGACACATGCGCTCGGGATAACGTGGTCTCTACGCAAGCACTACAGCCCCACTATCTGCATCTTGTATTTAGGGTTATCGCAGTGCATTGGTGGACGTCTACCGAAGTAATCTCCTTGAACTTGATCCACAACTGGATACGGAGCTACGCCGAGTGTTGGAGGGGTACGAGAAAGGAATCAATAATTTTAAGAAACGGGGGTTGATGAAGATCAACGAAGGTAACCGCCAGTTGAAGATCAACGGTTTCGAGCTGGTAGCTGCAAAGTTAATGAAGCTCGAGCCAAAACCCATTGGGCAAGCATGGTCTACAGTTCTTTTTGGGTGGAGTTTTTTTCTGTTTTAATATGGAATCTAATGAGCCGGGCTGATTTGATTGATAGCATTATGCTACAGCACATGGAGTGAATAGAAGACTGTCTTGTCGTTGAAGAACAAGGCCACAAAGGCGACCAAACAGGGGCCAACAAATTTGGGAAGCATGTATATGCAAACCCATACCAGCCTTCTCAATGTGCAATTTTAGCACTTGCCGTTCACATATTTTCCTGTCCTGAACGTTCTATTGGGGGTAAACAGCAGCTATTTATTGGGAGTGATAGTAAAGATCGCTTCGGTCGTCTTCTACGTCGCGTTATTGGGTCACTGAGTGAGGAGGAGCTACGTGAGTTGAGTCGCACCCCTGAAGTCATCGGTACCCACAGTCTGCGTAAAGGGAGCAGCTCCTACGCTCTGGGCCAAGTTAATGGCCCCACTCCTGTGTCAGTCTATCTACGAATGGGTCAGAGTCTTGGAAGACTCAATGACCAATACATCCACTTTGGAGAAGGGGCTGACCAACTGTGTGGACGAATGATAGCCGGACTGCCATTTGATTCCAACCGTTTTGGGGTTGTTCCTCCTCATTTTCCGCCGCTAATAACCAGACCTCCTTAAAATTGAGATTTTGCAGAAAAACCTCAAAATTAAAAAAAAAACTAAGCATCCAGAAACTGCAAAAATAAAACACGAAACTCTGAGTGGCCGTTGAATACTGAGCGACAACTACGCCCCCGCGTTGGTTTCCGAACAGTCACAAGCTAATTTAGCAACCTCACAAGCTCCTTCTACATTTGATGTCTTCTACTTCGCCTTCAATTATCCCGTTGAAGTGTTCGTCCTGAAGTCTACGGCTTACCAGAGTCTGTTCAATGGGGACAACCAAACCACCAGCATTCAAAAGCAAGCACACAGTGAAATACGGGCTAAAAGTCTCAGCCCGGGCTCCTGGTAGTAGTAAAGTGACAAGCGTCATCTGCAGGTTCTGTTCAAGATTTGGGCGGGAGGACAAGCCGAATGCGCAACACAAGGCTTCAAGTCGACACAAAGTTTATCAAAAGTTTCTTCCGTATCTTTACGAGTCGGACAACAAAGGACAGCATCCGATAAAATGGGCAGAGTACACAGTAGTTTATCCAATGATGAAGATCGTGAGGCGTTTTTCGATACAGCATCAGCTCACAGTCAGCAAAAAATGAAATCACACTTTCAAGAAGGAGGCTCGGTTGAATTCCACTTCAGGAAGTCACTTGTGGATCTCGTTATTGGAGAATTACTTTTCCACCAGGACGATGTGGATGGGATTTCGCATGAAAGAGCGTTGGCACTTTTTGCAGCTGTTGGTGAAAAAGGTGCTAGCACTGTTGGAGAAGCTAGTAGCACCGCTGGCTATGTTGTTCGTGTAAAAAATCGCCGTAAATTCAATCTCCTTGTTCAGTTCATCGCATGTGGCTCAGCATTTCGTCAAGCTTCACAACAAATGGAGTGTGTAAAGCTTGAGACTGGCTTAGGTGAATATGGGGGTTGCACGGATACTATGGCAGCAAATTATGCACGTGTGGTATGTGCTCAGAGCTTGCAGCTTTCTCAGCGTCTTGAGTAAGTTTGGGCCTTTTCGCTGGCTTTTGATGGTTCTACTCGCCTAGGAATGTCATACCTGGATGTTCGGGTTCGATTTAGACATGGTGCAGATACTCAAAACTTTCTTCTATTGGCGATACCATTGTACCAGCGCCATACGGATGCTTACATGCTCGATGTTTTGGTTCGCTTTTTAGATGCGACTATTATAAGCTGGAGGGACTATGTACTTGCTGTATCCAGTGACGGAGCGTCTAGTATGACTGGAAACGTGAAGGGACTCGTTACAAGGCTACAAAACGTTTGTGCTCCTGGCATTCTCCGAGTTTGGTGTGGCCTTCACCAGTTCGACCTCGTGATGCAGCGTGTGTACTCGACTGCCATGGATGACAAGTTTTATTCGACCCTGACAGGTCTCATCGGACATTTACGACGACAGCAAAATCTAGTCACACAAATGCAGTTGACATGCCCAAAAGTGGCGAGCACTAGGTGGATTTCCATGGGGACGGTCACTAAATGGTTGACAAAGTACCATTTTAAAATTCGAGCCCACTTAGCAGAAAAAGCACCCACTTGTGCTCCTTCAGATTCGTGGTGGTGCACGCTTTTTATTATTCATGCAATTGTGGAGGAGGCGTCGGAGGTATTTGTTACTCTTCAGGGAAAGACACTGTACTCACAGAGCAATGTAATCTCATGAACGACTTGATTCATTCATATTGCGCTATGTCCGGTATGGTTGGACCTTTGAAGGACAAAGAACTTGAAAGAGCTGTTGAAATGGACCCAACTCAAGTCTGTGGTGCGTTCGCTCTAACGATAGAAAACGCAAGTATTTGTATGGCCGGAACGAGTGTATGGGTCTGCGAGACTATGGCGAGAATTGGTCGAGAAGACGACTCGGAATTAGAGCGGATTGCCCGGTGCACAGCTCGAGTGTTTGTACAGGCGGCTGACGGCATTTCAAAGATCATAGCAGAGCGAAATGACGTTAACCAACCTTTCGTCTCGTCAACACCGAAGGTTTTACCGCATCAACTTATCAATGTGAACATGACTACATTCGCAAAGATACTCGACCACCATCGCTCTCGACTTTTGCGTCATTATAAAGTTCCTGAGCATGTTGAAGCTATAGGGGACCAACTCGTTCAGTTACAACGCGCATTCCGCAAAGAAGAACCACTTCGAGAGATGATATTGGACAACCAAAAGAGTGGATCAGGATTTAAAAAGTGTTGGGACGATATCTACACTCGCTTTCCAGCTCTTGCTAATTTCTGCTCTGGTATTGCTTCAGCTTTCCCGAATACAGCTACGGTCGAATCCGACTTCTCAATGATTGGAGTACTGAAGAACGACTATCGAACGTCACTAACTGACTTCTCCCTTGAAGGTATTCTTCATTGCAAGCAGTACAGCCAACTAGCAGCACTTGCAGCACACACGGACGTGAAGTCGGGTCAAGATCAAAAACAAAAAACTAAGATTTCAAAAGCCTCAAAACAAGCTATTTTTGAAAAATCTCAAAATTAAGGAGGTCTGCTAATAACTAGTCAAATGACTGTGCAATACTGGGATGAAGTGGTTAGTGGCTTTTCTAATTACCCGCGTGGAGTTCAGTCCGCTTTTCCGTTTTGGTTGGCATCTATTATCTTTCACGAAGATTATCTACGTAAAAATCTGTGCGAGAACATCCAATATCTAAGTTGAGAGCATTTTCGTCGAATTCGCTTCTCCATCTACAGCGTGGTGCACCAATACTTCTATAGGAACTTCACCGGTGTGTAGCCTAAAGACAACTGGGATTCCTGCTCATCTCGCAGTTGCACAACAGGTTAGCCTCCTTAAAGAAGAGGTCGCCAACCTGCGCACAAGCATGGAAACGACGTTACCTAGTACGATCGTACGAGAACTGCGCCAGCACTTTGTTGTTAATGGTGTCGCACCCATTTCGCTGCATGACCTTGACTCAAGGATCTCGGAGTTGGAGACCAGAATGACAGCGCGTTTTTCCAGCGCACTCCTAGATATCCAAATACCCCGCACTACCACAGTGCCTACTACTACAAACGGACAGCACAACTGGCAAACATGGTCATGGAACGACGGCCAAATTTACCATAATGTTCCCAAAGACTGGGAATTTCCTGCGCGAGCAAACGCAAAATTACTATGGAATTTGTGGTTCTTTATAGATAAAGATGTTAGAATCCGCCCTTACCGGTTGCTCAACAAACCATACGACATTTTGTCACAGCATCAAATGAGACATACTCGGGTTAGAATAGTGATGGAGCATTTGGAGCAGCTTGCAAAAGAAGCTCAACTATTTCCTTCTGGATTGACTAGTGTATCAATGCTAGAAATTCCCGCGGCTGACAAAGTTTTTGATACTTCTTTCGCGATGATGCTATCGAAACTGTACACCAGAGCTCCAAAGCGAGCCGAGAACTTGTCGTGTGGTACGCTCTACAACAGACTCTGCCAGTATCGTAAAAAAAAAAAACTATTTAGTAAATAATCATAAGAAAAAAAACAGTGTTAGCCAATCAATAATCATAAGAAAAAAAAACATTGTTAGCCAATCAAAAGGTGTTATTAAATGTGATCTGATTCCTATCACAAACGCCGTCATTATATACGTTTTGAACTACACTCAATTGAATGGTTACATGCACACCTGCGACAGAAATTGAAGTCTACAGTACTACACACTTTGGCGTTTACATCTGAGAATGAGCTAGCTGCTATGGTCTATTGTGCTCTCGTCTCGATTCGGTTTCGAGCTGTTGGGTTCATTTGCTGACTTCGTTCGTCTGGAAGCTCGCTGCGAACTCGTTGAACGCGCGCAGGAAGCGGTTGTCCGTCCAGTTGATCTTGGCTCCATTGGCCAGGTGAGTCGGGGCGTCTTCAGCCGTTCGGAGCGCGCGGTTCTGACACCCGCTATCGCTCTCGTTGGCAGTCTCAGTGGTCGAACCGGCAGGCATTACGGTGCCTTGCACTTGAGTCTGCATCCCCGAGTTGTTCACAATGGGCACGCACTGCTTGTAGATTTGCCAGTTGGGCTCGTGCAGTGCCAGCCAGTAGAAGCGCAGGGTGCAGTCACCCGAGCACTTGGAGAAGTCGGCTTTGACGCTGGCGGGGTATCCGGTGCCGTAGGCCGCAACACAATCGTCCTGGTGGTCCACCATAGTGTCGTCGATCCAAACCTCGCACGGACCGTGGTGCGAGTCGATGAATCCTTTCTGCTCCTGGTCGTTCTGCCAGTTCATGACACTGAGACCCGAGACATCGACTGGTGAGACGTCAGTTCGGGTGTTAGCGCAGTCCGTGACCTGCTGGTCCAGCATATCGCGCAGCGAAGAGTAACCGGCATTAGCGAACGACGAGGTGAACGTCGCCGCGTTCGCCTCCGGGCTGTCGTCCCACTTGAGGCCTCCAAAGGCACTATTGACGTCGGCTGTAATGGTCTTGACGTATTTGGTCGAGGATGACGGGTCAACGAACTGAGCAGCCGGTTTGGACACGTATCCGTGAGCGTCAGCGGAGTTGAAGGCGAGTGCGGCCGTGACGGCAGCAGCGATGACAGTGGAGTGAATGAGTTGCATGGTTGCGAGTGTGTTGGCGCTGTAGGTGTTGTTGGTTGATGGCAAATTGAGGAATGATTGGGACCAAAGTTTTCGTGTCGCCTTGGCAAAACTCAGAAGAGACACTGCTAGCTCGATCCGTGATACTTGTCCTTCCATCCACTCGCCGAGTTTTGCTGCCACCTCTGGATTCACATCATGGTGTTGGACAAATAACGTGTGAGGTGATCAGTCATTTCTCGCTGTTTGAACGGCGCGAAGAATCGTCATTGACAGCAGGCATCAGTTGGAGGTACAGCCGCCACACACGCGACTGCAGCTGGGAAGGTGTTTCTGAACAACATTTAAGCCGTCAGGACATCTCTGACCACTTTGCTTTGTCACGCCATAATAACGGTGGACTTGACTCCGAACATCTAGTGACAGGCGGCGACGTTCTGTGGCACTGCCACGGTTGCAGTGGAATGAGTGATCATTCGAAGCATATGCATCGAAATGGAGGCGAAGTCAGGTCGACCAGCTTAAGCCTGTATCAATGGTCGTCCCCCACTATAACTGCTACTCGAAGCCATTTCTCAACTTATTTTGGTAAACGTGATCGCCTCTTTTTGCTATAGTATACCCGTGTTCTTTACAGTCTGCTACGGGGAATCGCGACGAATTGTGGGGTCCTTGTGCTCGTCGTAGTTGCGTTCTAGGTAGTCCACATGCACAAAAGCTCGCTCCACATTGTCCAGTGCCTCCACTTTATCCTGCAAGCTCAGACTGATGTCGTGGGCATCCTTGACGCACATATCCTCTGGCAAGATGACCTCCATCTCCACCAAATAGTTGTTCCCGAAGTGATACGCTCTCACTATGTCCGTCCTCATCATGGGGTGGTGGACGTCGCCCAGCAAACGGATCTGGTCAATAAACTCCTGGTCGGCCTCTGCGATGCAGTTAATAACTACAGTTAGTATACGGGTAACCAAGCAATACAACAGCAGGTGACGTACGAAGGCCAACTAGTCGCTCCACCTGTTCTTTCCCTGTTGCTAACCAGCTAACAGCGATGTACACTGAGATGACGATGGCACCAATAGAATCCAGATACCAGAGATTCGAGTGCCAGTGAGCAGCGAAGGCAGCAGCGACAGCCACCGAATTACTAAAGACATCGTTGCGGTGGTCCTACACAAGCAGCACACAAATTATCAGGCCGTGGCTACTGACTCCAGTCTGTTCGATGCAATCTCACCTGGGCCAGAGCATCGGCTGAAGGCGAATGGGACGCGATCTTGGTGCAGATATGCCACAGCAGTAACTTGATGACAATTGCAACCAGCAGCACGATCATGGTGAACGAAGAGAAGTCCAGTTCCCGCTGGTGGCCTTTAAAGCCCTTGACTAGAGCCTCCACCGACTGCTGAATCACCTCAATAGCTGAGAAAATAAACATATAACGTCAGAATAGGTGCTAAGCCTACTACAAAACTGTAGTAGCTATGTCTCACCTGCCATTCCCATCAGGGTGGCTGAAATAATGACTGCAATCGGCTCGAGGCGTCGTCTGCCGGCTGGATACTTGACACTCGGGGTGTGCATCCGCTTGTCCGAGTACCAGAAGAGAGCTTGCGATGTGAGATCCAGTATGGAATCCACAAGTGACGATAGTACAGCCAGTGAGCCACTAGTGAAGGCCGCGTAGATCTTGACAATAGCGAGAGCCTAAGCGCATCAAATTCCAGCGACTAATTAATCGACAGGTGGGTACAGCAAGGCGGAAATCTATCGACAGACGCACCACATTGGCTGCGAGCGACGCGTTGATGGCGACCTGCACGCGCAGAATGGCGTTTGAGGGCGAGGCCAGACGCTGCTCCTCCACGTCCGCCTCCTTCTTGAGCAGGAACGCGTGCGAGACCTGCGAGCGGCGATAGCGATCATCAGCCTTGGTGCTTCCAAGCGTTGGAGTGATGGTCAGTGTCCCGTAGCCATTGGGCGAATGTTGCAGCGACGAAGATTCGGCCATTGAGAGTGGAGAGAAGGAGACGACCGACCAGATCCGAGCCAATTCGTAACTGACCACCAAGCAGCATTTCCCACCGAACCGCTCTGAATCTGATACATAGAGCTAGCAAATGTTGAAGTCCCGAACCGCTTTCAATTCGTTACAATTGTCGTACTTAACCCATTCCGCCTTTAGTCTCCAGTCATACATTGACGTGGTGCTATGTTCGCACTGACCCGCATCTCGGACGTCATTCCAGTGGCTCCGGAGCTTTTCGACGCCGACTACACGCAGGTTCTAATAGAGGAGATCGACCGCAAGTACGCTAACAAGGTCATCGCAGATGTGGGACTCTGTATCACACTTTACGACTTTGTGAGCATCGGCGACGCGTTCGTCCACCCGTCGGACGGCACGTCGCACTCTCAGGTGGAATTCCGCTTGGTTGTGTTCAGACCATTCGTTGGCGAAGTGCTCAAGGGCCGCATCGTGAGCTGCACGGAGGAGCACATCCGAGTTAGTATGGACTTTGTGCAGGACATCATCATCCCGTCCTACGCGCTGCAGACGCCGTCCTACTTGTGAGCAAGCAGCAGTTTGGGCTGGACTGTGTTTCATAATTTGTACTGACTTGCTCTTATGTGGCTGTAGTGATACGGCGGAGAGACTTTGGGTCTGGAAGTACTCGGAAGGACAAGGTACGGATAATGTGGACGTAGCTTTTAACTGGTTGATACTGACGAACTGACTAACTGAGCAGAGAAATTCTACATGGACTTGCACGAGGAAATCCGCTTCCGTGTCACCAACATCAACTTCACACGCGTGACCAAGACAGCAAAAGGTTCAGTGCTACTAGCAATTGTAGGGAGTAATTTGTGCTGACTGTTGCTATTGGAAACAGGTATCCAGGCCACTACGACGGAGGCGACGGACAAGGCGGAGAAGGAGGTCAGTGCCGGTGACATGCGGCAATCTCTGGCCCGTCGACGGTCGTCGAGTGTGGATCTATCGGACAACGACCCCACACCGTCTGCTATACACATCCTGGTGAGTAGACTATGAAGCTTCTTGTCGATGTTCAAGTGCATTTCTGATCGTGTTTGTGTTGCTGGTTTTATTAGGGAACGATCGATGAGGACGGATTAGGTTTGTCATCGTGGTGGACGAGTTAATTGACAGAGAAGACGAGGGTCCATAAGCGACGAATGCATCGCATAAACGCAGTTATCATGGTCTTTTTTCAGTTCATTTGCTTCTTCAGTGTCCGTTACAGACACAGGGGGCGCAGTCACTTGCCAAGTTGAGCCCCATGTCGTCGGAAGCAGCTGCCACGGCGCTCAAGTCTCGAGCAGAGGTGCAGCTCCTGAACTCTCTTAACCAGAAGAAAGCGAGCTCCATGTCGTCGGAAGCAGCTGCCACGGCGCTCAAGTCTCGAGCAGAGGTGCAGCTCCTGAACTCTCTTAACCAGAAGAAAGCGAGCTCCACGTCGCTGTATCTCAAGGAAGAGCAGCTGAAAGCAGAAGATGAAGAGGATTCACAACAAACTCAAGCGCGGAATCGAATCTCCTTCGAGGCAATGTCAGCGTGTAGCGAGGAAGCCCGGATGATCTCGGAGGTCCGGCAGCTGGAGGACGATTTCTTCATCGTAGGCGCCGAGAACAACCAGAAGCTGCTTCAAACCCAGCCAGAAGGTCCCAGTCAGATCGAATTGAACGCTGTTCGTCGTCGTGATCGCCACATGGAGGCTCAGATGCAGTACGGAGAAGAAGTTAAGGCCATTAGCGAGGACGTGGAAGTCGCGATCATCCGAGCAGCTGATCACGTCAAGGAAGTACTTGCCACAGTCGATTTGGCGATCCAGGAGGCAAAATCAGCGCTTACGAACAACGAGCTGTTGCTGGCGTCTGACAATTACAAAATCCTGCGGATGTGGAGCGAGTTGGACGCTGTTTGCCAGCGGAGAACGGACGAGATCGCACAGTTCGCTGCTCAACTAGAAGAAATTGAGCAATCTCGCATCAATCGGATACGCATGGGCCTGCAACGATTGACGTGTGTGTTGATGGAGACAGCACACGCTCTGCCGCCTGAAGTGGAGCGTATCATCGAAGCCGAGGCGTATGAAGTGAATACCGTAGTGATCTCTAATCGCAGAGTGTATGCAGATCTGGTGGCCAGGATGGAGACGGCCAATGTCGATGTCTTCCTGAACGCCAGACTCGCGTGGGAACAGGGTCAGATACGCTGGCGTCACTTACGGCACGAAGATGTGATTGCCAAGTTCCAAGCCACACTCAACTCCCCTCTGTTCACAGACCCAGAGGAGCGACAGCAGTTACTTGAGCAGATTCGAGTTTTCCAAGAGAGAATTCACGACGAGCAGCGTCTAGCGGTTCTGAAGCAGTTGAAGGATGCTGGAGCTTCTCTCACTTCGGACCAAGCGAAACGTTTCTTGGAGGAGTTGAGTTGTACGCAGCAGTTTGAAGAAGAGAAGAACCAGTCCTTCTTTTCTGAGTTGAGAGGACTCCATGAGTCCAAAGATGACGCTGCTAAGGGCCTAAGAGAGGCTCTGCGCTTGGAACTTCACGGCTTTGGAGCTATGGCGAAGGAAGGAGCGATTGCAGAGGCCAAGAAAACTCTACTCACGCTGCTCAGTGACGACTCGATGGAAGACTTTTTTCGTGCTGCTGGCGGCTTGAAAGTCGAGCTCGATACTCTGGCGAAGCAGCTTTGCATCGCAGACCTCATTTACAACTCAAACCTGGAGCCAGTCGTGAGTTCTGTGGGAATCCTGTTGAGTTCGCTACCACTGGCAAATGTGATGGAGAAGCAAGGCAAAGAGGCGGAGCGGAAGGCAGTGCAGTCAACACTCGATAAGGTCCGCAAGGCCACCAAAGGCGAGATTATGTCGCTGTTACCCAGTCTGCAGACTCAAATCTCGATGCTCATGAACCTCGAGGAAATGAGCGACAAGTTTAAAGCTGAACTTGGTGACATTGCAGCCCAATTGGACACAATTATCCGCGAGTACGGCTCTATTCAAGACAATGAAGCATCAAATTCATCAGCAATTAGCACGATCACTTCATTAATGGGAGCTTCAAATGACAAGCGTCCTCCGTCCGTAGCTGCCCCAGCGAGTGTCAAGAGTACGACAAAGATCCCTGCAACAATCACTACGACATCGCTTTCTAAGGGCAAGACAATTGATATATCTCAAAACAATGGTAACGCTGTTGATCTCCAGGCGATTCGAAAGGTGCAACGAAGTCTCGGTACGCTTCTGTATGCGTCTGAACTGGGCTTACCCTGGCAGGAGCATTTGCATTTCATCGCCGACCAGCTCCAGTTGCAGACTAATGCTAATCGTATCGTGGATGAAGTCATTACTAAAGAATGTAACGCTCTAATTGAAACGCGACAACAAGAGAGTCGACTGCTAGTGGAGGAAATGGGGAAGCGGATGGAGCAGCAGAGCGCACAGCTGCACGATCATGTCGAGAAGCTCGCAAGGTTTTTCCTTCGAGTGGTGCTTTGTCTCGAGGAAAGTGTTGATAAGGTTCAGTACGTCAACTTGAGTGTGATGGATCTCCTGGACACACTTAAAGACAACGATGAAGACGCTCTGGCTGATCTGGAGACCAAGTTAACGCAGAGCTCCGCACGTCTTCGACACTCGCCAAATAGCAACGTTTTACGTGAGGAATTCCAGCGTTCGTCGGATCTCTTGATGCACATTGAAGGAGAGTATCGGACCTATGACAAGCGCGTGTCTCTGGCTGCAGATAACAATGTCGTCGCGATCGACAAACAGCGACTGCTGTATCTTCAGCGTCTCTGCGACTTCTTTGGGTTACATCAGACAAATCAACCCCAGGGTGATGACTCGTTTAACCTAGACTACTTCCTCAGCGCGCAACATATTGATATCCCCATATCGGTGGTTAATCCAGTTCCTCAAGAGAAAACGAGCAACAGCATTGTCGAGGCTTGGACTGGAGAGCCCCCGCCTGCGTCTGATGAGCCAGAGCCCCCAGAAAAGGAAATATTTCGAACGACATCGGGCCTCGAGATGGTTGTCGTTCTCTCTCTTACCGGCCTTGCTCAGAACATCTTAATACAAAGTGAAGAGGAGGACACGGAGCAACAATTGGTAGAGGAAGTTGGACCAACTGACCCTTCTTCTAGTGAGCAAAACACACCCCGTGATGATAAACTAAGTTCACGTACGAATGAAGAGAACACGACGGAATTTGAGCCACAAAGTTCACGATCGCTAGAGCAAACTGTACTGGAGAAAGTTCAAACGGAGTTCTTGGTACTGAGTGTCCCCAGTAACACTGTTGAGAGCCTGCTAGCCACTTTTCGAGACGCTATTTTATCCAAGTATGACTCGGACGCGACAACTACTGCCACTCAGACGGAAGAAACTCGTGATGAACGCCACGCGAGCTCTTCAATGCTCCTCGAGGAGAGACTGCGTGTTCACTGGCCACGCAAAGGAAGACTGGACGTGCAGTTCTACCAGCCTCGAATGGGGGAGCTTTTGAATCACCAGCAACGACAAGAGCGGCATCTGCGTGGAGTCTGGTTAAAGGTGGATGAACAGCAAGCAGCATTCGCGAAGAAAGTGGAGGAAGCTCTTGCACACGTGGAGCAGACCCGAGTGACGCAGATCAACTTTCAAGCTCAGCTTCCCCTTCAACAAAGCCTGGCAGCTCTTCAGGGCCTGGAAGTGAAGACCAAGAAGCGTCTCGGAGTCTTTAAAGGCGAAGCGATGGAGATCCTGGCTGCACTTCAAGCAATGACAGCTAGTGATATCAACAGCTTATTATCGTCGTGTCAAGACTATATCCGCGCTTGTTCGTCTCAACTTTTCCCCGACTTGACGAGCACTGAGATTATCACTGGATGCGATTACCACCCCGAGGAGATCAGTGCGATCAAGGAAAAACTCGCTGCTGTTGAAGCTCAGACTCGGGATCAAATATCCGAGCGAGAGAAGCAAATTGATGAGATTAGTAGCAAGCAGGGCCAAATTCTGGACATGTGGGAAGCGTTCAAGACGAGGTCTCAGATGTGTATGCAGAGTTTGGCTATGAAAGAAGGACTTGGGCAGAAGTTCGGCCTTCCTCGGAGAACAGCTCAAGAGCGCTATCGGTCTGAAATGACGAGGTGTGAAGCACGTTCTGCTGCGATTAATACGCTCTTAGCGTCACTTGTATCGTTAGTCGACGAAGGGAAAAGTGGCGGACATTCGGAATCACTGCTCAATGAGCAGGACCTTACACGTGATGTGTTATCTAAGCTGATGCAGCTCCGTGCGAAGATTTATCATCGAGGAATGTACTTTGGATTCTTACGATCTCCTAGCCAACTGGAACTCAAGCCAGCTGAGTTTAATCCAGCAACAGGGAGAGAAGAGGAAATGATACGTGACCACGAAGTAGTGGACGAAGAGGATCGAGTGCTAGCGGTTCCTTTCTTAGAGTTTGCCGGTCAAGTGAGCGCTAAATGCCAAGAAGAAACGAAGGCATTGTACCAGCACGAAGGGAAAAATGAAGAGCTCCCGCCGTCGGGTGTACCCGCAGTTTTGGAGGAATATCTGTCCGGTCAACTGGAAAAGGCTCGGGCGTTCGTGATGCTACAAGAAATGTCGTATCGAGAGCAAGTGGATTTGTTCGCAGATCTGTTGACTCTTGCACCGGGAGTCGTTGCGAGAAACTTGGCGGAGCAGGCAAAGCTAGAAATGCGGCGAAAGATTTCCGAAATGGTCTCAGCGTTTGAGTCTCAATATCAGTCGTGGATGGATCTCAAAAACCGTCATACATTAGAGCTGCGACCGCATCTCTGCAGTCCTAACAACGTTCACCTTCTAAAAGAGCTGGAAGAGCGTGAAAAAGCGCGCTCGACGTCAACTCAAGTTGCTCTGTACAACCTTCGAAGCCAGTTCTTGGCGGAGCAGATTCAGATCTCGTTGGCGTTCGAAGCGAGACTGATTGGACTCTGTCAGTGCCTGATGCTGCTGCTGGACTCGTCGGTGCTGTCGCTGGACGATCTGAAGCCATTTTCAGGCGAGGAACTGCCGAAGCGTAAGCGCAAGTCACTGAAACGACTGCGCAAAGTGGCTCGAGTGAATGAATTCGGCGATTCTCGCGAAGTGAAACGAACTGCTGCCGAGCTGCAGAAATTGACTCAAGGCGGCGAGACTCCGCGCTTTCCGCTGCGGTCGTGGACTGGCATTCCTTCGTTTGGAGTGCAGTCACTCTGGGAAGAGGTGAAGGCGGATATTCAGGCCAAGGATTTGGCAAGACAGTCCCCTGAATCTGTTGTACAACATGACACTTCCGTCCAAGATTTGATCTGTTTACCTCTGGCATCCAACGACGGCGCATGTGTTGCCCTTCTCACCCCTGCACACCGAGCACTCATTCGAGCACGAGATTCTGCCTACACCGATTACATGATCTTCTGTCGCGAGGAAACGAGACGGTTTCTAGACAATCTCCACGAACGAATTGAGGACGAAGTCAAGTGGATGCTGAGCTGGGAAAAAGGGATATCGAACATGAGACAGCAATTGCCAATATGAATGCCTCGAACAAGTGATCCATATACATAGGGCTGTTTTGTGTATTGCACGAAACGTTTCGTGCAGTTCGTGCACTTGCATTTAACATTTTATTACGTATAGAACCCATACTTACAAGCCATCGTTAATTGACGTCCGTGTCAACCAAGGCCCTTCCAAGCAGAATATACTCTAGGTAGCTTGGAGCTGCAAGTTCGCTCCATCAAAGCTTCAACACGCATTTTGGTGTGGGTTTTGTATTTGGTCACCAAAAATGGTCCAAATGAAGTTTTTATTTTACAAATTTGACCACACGGGGACCCATGAACTAGACGAGTGCCGCCCGCTTTGGTTGGTCCCAACCCGTGGAGCTCGCTAAATTGACCAATATTGACCAATAGGGATGTCGCAGAAAAGCGTGACCGTTAGTGGGCTATATTTGTAATTCATATATTTCTGAGAGCATTCTAGAAGGTAGGGGTAGGCTAAAAGATAGGTGGTATTGCATGTAAAAGAGTGGTGTAGCCAAGGCAACCACTTAGGTTTATGCGCTTAAACGTTCAACACACACACGGACGGACACACGGACACCGCACTCGCCTATGTGGTGGAGTGGGGTTGGACTGCCGACTGACGGAGGGGGTACTCCGATAACCGTGGGGTTGCTGAGGGCTCACCTTGTGTACCCGTCGGCGGGGCTGGCTACTGT